TTTTAATCAGAACCTTGTGGGTGTGGAGAACAGAAGAAAAAGTATTATAGTTTAGGAGATGGCTTGGGCATAAAAGAAACTCAGCTTGAGTAGATAGTTGATGAGAGTATTATTTAAGAAATTAGCCTTCTTGGATGAGTTCTTTTTGGGAGGGAGTAGAAAAGAGATGGCTTTGTAGGGTCTGGTTCAGTTCTAGAAAGACTAGAAACAAGGACAAGTTGGAGGAATTATTGCCTATTTATGAGCAAGAAAGTGCCTTATAAGTGATATAATTCTGGAAGTGACGTATAAGTAATTCTGGCAGCTGTGTAAGGTGTAGTTGGAAAAAGAAAGTCTAAGCTCAGGGTGCCTGGGTGGCTCAGTCAGTTAAGCAACTGCCTTCGTCTCAGGTCATGATCCTGGAGTCCCAGGATTGAGTCCCAGGATCAAGTTCCCTGCTCAGCCGGGAGTCTGCTTCTCCCTCTGACCCTCCCCCGTCTTCTGCTCTCTCTCTCTCTCAAATAAATAAATAAAAAATCTTAAACAACAACAAAAAGAAAGTCTAAGCTCTTATTTACTAGTCCACTATTTGAATTACAATTATTAGGGTTGGTGAGACAGAAAGAAAAGGACTTCCCTAATTTTCCTGTTATGTCTGAGCACTTCTAATGTGCACAGCACTGTGCTAGATACTGTAGTAAGACAGGGTCTCTATATTCAAGGAGCTCATGATCTGAGTGACGTGTATATATGAACCATGATATATTGTGAGAAATGTTATGTTAGTGGTATTATCAAAGTGCAGTAGGAAGTTCAGAGGATAGAGTGGGTTATCCTACGGTGCAGAGAGTCTAGAAGGATTCAAACATGATAACTGAAAGATGAGTAAGTTTTCATTAGTAGAAGAGAGGGGAATATAGAACGTTGTAGGCAGAGAGAGCAATATGAGCAAAACCAGATAGCATGAAAGGAGAGTTGGGGTAGATGAGAGATATTATAGGAGAGAAGCCTGGAAATGGTAGATGTGGGCCTTGATGGGAAAGACCTTAATCTTAAACTAGCCTGCAGACATTTGTGTAGGCAATAGGAAGCCATTTGAAAGTTCTTGAGTGGGAGAATAGCCTGAGCAAATCTAGTTTTTAGGAAAAGAACTGACAAGTGTTCTTTAGAAGGGTAGACTTTAGAATTTAAGGAGGAGAAAAGGAAATCAGAGACCAGATAAGGAGCTATTGCTGTACTGTAAGGATGAAATGAATGAGGAAGCCATCTTAAACTAGTGAATGGAAAAAGGAACAGATTTAAGAATCATAATTTAAGTTCTTTTCATGTCTACAGCAAAGACACTTTTTTAAGTCCTTAATCAACTGAGAGACAAGCAACTTACCAGCCTCTTTAAATAACGTTTTTTCCTTTTTGTTAAGTAAATTTTCAAACATACTAACAAGTAGATAAAGTAGTACCAATGAACCCTATGTGTTTTTTATAATGCCTCATTGATTCTTAAATTTTGATATTCTTACAATCTTTTATATACTTCGATATAAATAAGATTTTTGTTGTTTTTTTTGGTTTTTGTTTTTAGTGAAATGAAAGGAGATAAAGTTTAATAGGTATAAAAAATAAAATCTCTTAATTGGGTGCAAAAGCAATTGTGTAATTATTTAATTTGGAGTGAGGGGCAAAGAAGAGTGACTTGTGGGAATAGATGACATATACGTGTAAGAAGAAGTTGACTACAATGTTCTCTGAAAATACTTTTATGTCTGTACGTGCACACACATGCGTAGATGATTTTGTTTTCCTCTGTGGATAAGTATAAGCTTTGTCACCATGCTTTGAAATTTCACAACTATGTGTCTTGGTCTATTATCACCTATTGTATCAAGCATTTATTTGTACCGTCTTACTCTGGTAGCGTATATCCTTCATTTCTGGGATATTTTCTTCTGTTATGTTTTTACTTTTTCTCTGCTTTCTAATGTCTTTTTAGATATTATAAATAATGTTATGAAGGCCAGCTGAAGGAAATTTCACAAACTAATTTAAGTTTTGGTACACTGGTAACATAATTTGGATAAATGTTTAGCTTCTCAAGGTTATAGGCTTCATTCAACTTTTGTATGGATATGTAAGACCTGACATGACTGTTTTTAGGAAATCTGTCATGGTATCTTATAGTCATTTCTCAAAATATTAGATCATGTTAAAAAAAAAAGTAGTCCCATTCTGGTTAAACAAGTTTTGAGGCTGTGTAATCCTGTGTGCAACGTCTGAAGACAAACAAGTTGATGCTGGTTGATTAGGGGAGTTGCTAAAATGGCAAAGATTTTCAGAATTAATGAGTACTTTACAAAGAAATTAAGGAGAAAAGGAGAACTAAGTGAGGAAACAGAAATAATTTTTACATGTTTAAAAATGTATTGAGTCTTCCTGATGCCTTTCTTGCTTTTCCCCTTATTGTAAATAATCTTTCATCTATGCTCTCTTCTTTCTCTTTTTTTCCCTCTCTTCAACTCCTCTTCTTCAACTCTTCTCCCTTTCCCCTTCCCGGCATGTAATTGAGTGTTGACTATGCCAGGAAGCATTTCAGGCTTGAGTAGGGAGGGGAGGGGAGCATTATAGACCTAGACTTTGTGATCTTAGAGTTTTTCTCACTTAATGGGAAAAATAGTGATTAATTAGATAATTGGGCCAAAAATTATGTAGTTATAAACTCCATGTCCTATGAAAGACTTTGAATTTAAGCTGAGGCCCAAAGTCAATCAAGTAAAAATATATACTGAGCACTTATTGCATGCCAGGCACTGTTTTTAGGTATTTGGGATACAGATTTGAATAAAACCTAAATGCAGTGTAAATCCTTGTAGACCATGATAAATTTAGGTTTTATTCTGTTTGCATTGGGAAGCTATTGGAGAATTCTGAGCAAGGGAGAAACATGAGTTGATTTACACTTTTTAATAAGATTGCTTGCCTGTATATAGAGGATGGATTTTACAGAGGTAAGACTAAAACAGAGAGAAAATTTAGCAGAACAGTTGAGAAGTGGTAGTAGGTTTAACCTGGATTTTAGGGGTAGACATAATCAGTGATTGAATTCGGTATGTATCATAAAGGTAAAATTGACATAGGATGGTCATATCTATTGGCTAATGGCTAGGATTTCTTTTTTTTTTTTTTTTTCCTTGAGCAACTCAGTAAATGATGGTGCTATTTACTTATGGGGAAGACTTGGAGAGGATCAGATCAGGGGATAGTGGGAAATCAGTAGCTTTGTTTTGGCCATGGTAAGATTGAGTTGTTTATTAGATATGTAAGACATTGGATATAAATTACTGGAGCTCAGGGGAACAGTTGAAACCATACTGTCAACTCTCAATATTCCTGACATCTGCAGAAAGAATATTGCATTTCTTTTTTTCTCTTTTTAATTTCATTAATTAATTAATTTTATTTTATTATTTTATTATTTTTTATTATGTTATGTTAGTCACCATACAGTACATCATTAGTTTTTGATGTAGTGTTCCATGATTCATTGTTTGCATATAACACCCAGTGCTCCATGTAATACGTGCCCTCCTTAATACCCATCACTGGGCTAACCCATCCCACCACCCTGCATTTCTTTTTCTGTGTTCACATAGCATTTTTTCTCACACACGTAGCATTTATTGTATTGCTCTGATTGTTCATGTGTCTGGTCCCATGGTCTGAGATTTTGTTGTATTTTTCTTTCTAGTCTCAGCCTCTGGTAATAGATTTTTAGATGATAGATTATAGATATTTAATGTTTGATGGATGAACCATGTAGATTTCCCTTGTCACCACATTCTGTCAGTTTACCTTTCAAGTGTCTGTCAAACCCATTTCTTTCTTTCTATCCTCATTTTCTTAGTGCTGATCCTCCGTCATCCCTCACTAGGATCTGGGCCTTTAAATGGATTTTTTCAAGAAGTGGAATTCTAAACTGTCAATGTTAAACCCTAATTATATGAAGACACCCATTAGGGATTGGGTTCAGTAGTATTAATAAGAGATCTGACTTTAATGGTTCAAATATATTCTTTTTCTCACACAATGATTATGTGAGAGGTAGGTGGTTTCTGGAATTGAATCAATGTTTTGAATGTATCAGAGTCAAGGTGTCTGAGATTTTCTTGGCCTTTGCCTCATGGGGAGAGAGAATGATGCTGAATTTAGACTGAACAGTGGAATTTAAGTAGGACATAAAATATGGTGTGATGTTATTCAAGTATAGGGCAACTTAGTTTAAATTTAATAAATTAATGATAATTTAAGATAGGAAGGTGAGTATAAAGGCAAAAGAGCATAAAGAAATATTTCACCAGTATAAAGGAGTATGACTGGACCATACTCAAAAGAACTGCTAGGAGCAGAAAGGGTGGCTAAATCTGGGAGAAATTATGGAGTAAGTAGATAACTGGTTTGAAAGTGAGTATAAAGAGGGAAAAGAGGTTATTAAAGAGACAGATGACTCCTTCAAGCTTCTATGTGTACTGAACTGGCAGGATGGTGATACTGTTGATGACGAGGAGGAAACAAATGGTATGGAAGTGCAGGAACAGGTTATTCATCTGAATCTGAATAGAAAATGGTCAGAATGGCTAAAATGGCCACTGGTGGTTTTCTTAGAATGACAGTAAACATAGAAGGGGAAAATTCTTCAAGATCTTTGAACTCTGAAACCTGGAGTCATAACCAAGTATCTTGGACTTATTTGTGGAGATTTAAGGGAATTTATGAAAGGACTGAAGAGTTATAGCTTATTGGACTTTTAAGTGACATTAGTGTGAACTTTTTAATGGTTGGGAACATTTTGATCCCCAATTCCATCTTTGGTACCTTTCACCTAATAGTGTTCTAAAATAGGGTAATTTTATTAAATATTCTTCAAAAGCATTATTCATATTTAATTTCAAATCTGATGTTACAAATTTATTTAACACCTTTAGTGTATTATCTATTAGATAAGCTATAATAACCCTTTTTTTTTTAAGGTACAACAGGAAGAACTGGAAATTCAGAGAAAGAAGCAGCACTTCCATCTACAAAAGCTGAGTTTACTTTTCCTCCTTCTTTGTTCTTCAAGACTGGACTCCCACCAAGCAGGTTAGACAATTATAACTCCACTTATTGAAGGCTTTGGTATCCTCATTTTGTATTAGTGCTATAAAGTATAAAAACACTAAATGTTCTTTTTTTTTTTTAGATTTTATTTATTTATTTGAGAGAGAAAGAATGAGAGACAGAGAGCATGAGAGGTAGGAGGGTCAGAGGGAGAAGCAGACTCCCTGCTGAGCAGGGAGCCCGATGTGGGACTCGATCCCGGGACTCCAGGATCATGACCTGAGCCGAAGGCAGTCACTTAACCAACTGAGCCACTCAGGTGCCCAAAACACTAAATGTTCTGCCAAAAAACTGGAACATTCCACGTTGTTTTAGTACAAAAATGAATTCTCTGTGAAAAACTCTTCTGGGTGCCTTTCCATTAAAAAAAAAGTCTAGGTAAGCAAATAAATGAAGCATGGTATATAGTTACATGTATGTAAAAAAGACAATCTTATATTTAGGAGAGATGGTGATAACAATGGCCTTGTTGTTTTCTGTGCTTATTATTATTCTTACATAAAGAATTATTGGACTTTCTAAGTCTAGATCTATTGGCCTAAATGTGTTTTACTAATTATAGTAAAAGAGGTTGTAGAAATTTCAGCCTGGACAATCTTTCAGATTAAAACCATTATCTTTTCTTTCTTTGGTTTGTTTTGATAATACCTAACTGAGTTCCACAAGGTACCAATTGTAAGAGGCAGATGTGCTGGGAAATGGCTAGCCTGTTATCAGGAAAATTGTAAAGGATAAGCTAAAACCAGGGATATTAGTAGTTTAATTTTGAGTTAGATAAAGATGACTTAAATCAATTATTTCTCTGGGCCTGAAATAAGTCAGTAACCCAACTGTTACTAGTTCTCAGCCAGATCATTTACCTTTTGTGTTACTTGATTAAGTTTATTTTACACGGTTTCCTGGTTTTGTTATTCTGCAATTTTGAATTGCTATAAGAGATTATATTTCATAATATACAAATGCAGGAAGAGACCTTATAGGAACATGTGGTTTAGCCCTAAGATAAAGATTCTTGAAACTTTCAGCCAGAATTAAATACCCCAAAGCTATCTTGGATTTTGACTGTCTCTTCTCATCCTAACAATTATTAGTCATGGACATTTCCAAATATTTTTTTAAACTGAATGAAATCTTATAAAATGTTTGGCTAAGAAGTTATCAGATCTGAGTAATACTGATCTTTTTAATATGTAGTCTTCCTTTTTTTCATATTTTAAGAGGTCACTTTCATTCATTGAGTTTATCGTGTTCTGCAGTTTAGAATGCTGTGAAGAGCTTTGACTCTGAATCAGACTTCTGGGGTTCGAATTCTGGCTCTATCTCTACTAGCTGTGTGTCCTTGAGCACATCCCCTAATCTTGTTCTTTCATTTACTAATCTGTAAAGTATAGTAATAATAATCCATTCCTCACAAGGTAGTTATGTATATTAAATGACTTAATTTATGTGAAATGTTTTAGAACAGTAGCACATACATAGGTAATACTCTATAGATGTTTGCTAATTAAACTATTTAAAAATCAGTAGCAGGTTTTCTATTATTTTGCCTGCCTCCTCCTTTAAAAACATATACATACATACACACACACAAAAACCCTGGGCCAGATTATGCAGGACATTGTACCATTATAAGGGCTTTGGCTTTTCCTGTAAGTGAAATAAATGGGGTGTCACTGTCAGAGTTTGTGCAGAGGATAAAATAATCTACTGTAAATTTTTCAAGTTTTAATTGCTTTATTAAGATCAGATTACAGAGAGATTCTGGACAGAAACTGGGAGGCCAGTTAGGAGGTTTAACAGTTATTTAGGCAAGAAGAGATCACTTGGACCATAGTGGTTGTGGTGCAGATGGTGAGGATCTTTTACATCTGAGATGGAAGAGACTGCAGGAGTGCTTTTTGGATGGAGAAGACCAAGAGTTCAGTTTAGGACATAATAAAATTGAGATGTCTATTAGACCTATAAGTGGAACATTTGCATAGGAAGTGGATATATGGATCTGGAGTAGAGGGGAAAGGTATGGGCTGGGGATGGAAATTTGGAAGAGATCAGTGTTTAAGTAGTATTTAAATGAAATTGTGAAACTGAATTAGATTGTAAAAGAGGTAAGTATTGATAGAAAAGTGGTAAGAGGGACAGAGCCTTGGGGTGCTTCCTTCCAGGTCAGAAAAATAAGGATGAAGAAGGAAGAGGAGATCCATATGACTACTGACATAGGAAGAACACCCAGTGTATGTCTTGAAAAAGATGTGTTTCAAAGTAGAGGAACAATTAACTACCAAATAATACTGATTGGCCAAGAAGGGGACTGAGAATGACTTTTGGAGTTTATTTATTTATTTTTAAGATTTCATTTAAGTAATCTCTACACCCAACATGGGACTTAAACTCACAACCCCAAGATCAAGAGTCATATGCTCCACCAACTGAGCCAGCCAGGTGCCCCAACTTTTGGATCTTAAAATGTAAATGTTGGGGCGCCTGGGTGGCTCAGTTGGTTGAGCGACTGCCTTCAGCTCAGGTCATGATCCTGGAGTCCCGGGATCGAGTCCCGCATCGGGCTCTCTGCTCGGCAGGGAGTCTGCTTCTCCCTCTGGCCCTCCTCCCTCTCATGCTCTCTGTCTCTCATTCTCTCTCTCTCAAATAAAAAAAATAAATAAAAAATAAAAAAAAATGTAAATGTTGCTGGTGGTCCTGACCAGGATCATTTTTAGTGGTACAAGGTGAAATTTGAAAAAAGACTTTTTGGAATGGATTCAAGAGAGAACAGGAGGAGAGGAATTAGAATGAGAATATATGGACAACTTTTTTGAGGATTTTTTTCTTTTGAGGGGGCAGAGAAAAAGAACAATATCTGAAGGGAACTGTGGGGTCAGGAGAATTTTTTTTTTAAAGATTTTATTTATTTGACAGGAGAGACACAGTGAGAGGGAACACAAGCAGGGGGAGTGGGACAGGGAGAAGCAGGCTTCCTGCTGAGCAGGGAGCCAGATGCAGGATTCAATCCCAGAACCCCGGGCTCACGACCTGAGCCAAAGGCAGACACTTAACGACTGAGCCACCCAGGCGCCCCTGGAGAATGTTTTTTCTAAAATGATAGAAATCACAGCATGTTTGTATACTTAGGATAATGAGTTACTAGAGGGGATACTGATGATACAAGAAGCAAGAACGGACACTTGTGAGAGCAATGTCCTTAAGCAAGTCAGAGGGACAAGATATAATATGCAAGGGGATATGCAATATTATTTTATTATTTTACATTTTTTATAGCCTTAAAGAGGAGATGCACAGTTCACTCATAGTAATAAGAAAGAAGGCAGGACACAAAGTGAAGTGGGGTGGGTAAGATAATATTGATGGGAGCAACTGAAAGCTCTCTTCTGACGGCTTCATCCATTACAATTAACTTTTATCTCATTATTCTTTAATCTGAGACAGTTTCTCAGACATTCTTTGTATTTGTTGATTCTGAATTTTGATTAGTAGAGTCCAGTTGTTTTGTAAACCATCCCTTAATCTGAGTTTGCCTGTTTCCTCTTTATTGGATTCAGGTTTTGCTTTTTCAGACAGGAGCCTGCATAAGTGATGTTGTGTCCTCAGTACATCAGACTGGAGGTGCACGATGTCATTTTGCCCCATTATTAGTGATGGTAACTTTAATCATTTAGTTGTGATGGTGTTCTTTGCAAAGTTACTATTTTTACTCCTTGTATTTAATAAATAATCCGTGAGGAAACTGTAAATATCCCAGTTCTTTTTAAACCTCCCAGGAATTCTAGTATCCATGGATGGTTTTTGCTTTCTCCTGTAACTACTATAATGGCTGTAAAATAGTGATTATCTAACTATTTTTCTTACATTAATAAGTTGGCATTCTCCTTTAAAAATGAGCTTTCGCACCTCCTCCACTTATTTATTATCAACTAGACTCATTAATTTTTTTTTCTTTTTTTTTATTCTTATGTTAATCCCATACATTACATCATTAGTTTTAGATGTAGTGTTCCATGATTCATTGTTTGTGCATAACACCCAGTGCTCCATGCAGAATGTGCCCTCCTCAATACCCACCACCAGGCTAACCCATCCTCCCACCCCCCTCCCCTCTAGAACCCTCAGTTTGTTTTTCAGAGTCCATCATTTCTCATGGTTCGTCTACCCCTCCGATTTCCCCCGCTTCATTCTTCCCCTCCTGCTACCTTCTTCTTCTTCTTCTTTTTTTTTCTTAACATATATTTCATTATTTGTTTCTGAGGTACAGATCTGAGATTCAAGAGTCTTGCACAATTCACAGCGCTTACCAGAGCACATACCCTCCCCAGTGTCAATCACCCAGTCAACCCATCCTTCCCACCCCACCCCCCACTCCAGCAACCCTCAGTTTGTTTCCTGCGATTAAGAATTCCTCATATCAGTGAAATCATATGATACATGTCTTTCTCTGTTTAACTTATTTCACTCAACATAATACCCTCCAGTTCCATCCACGTCGTCGCAAATGGCAAGATCTCATTCCTTTTGATGGCTGCATAATATTCCATGGTATATATATACCACCTCTTCTTTATCCATTCATCTGTCGATGGACATCTTGGGTCTTTCCACAGTTTGGCTATTGTGGACATTGCTGCTATAAACATCGGGGTGCACATACCCTTTTGGATTCCTACTTTTGTATCTTTGGGGTAAATACCCAGTAGTACAATTCCTGGATAATAAGGTAGCTCTATTTTCAACTTTTTGAGGAACCTCCATACTGTTTTCCAGAGTGCTGCACCAGCTTGCATTCCCACCAACAGTGGAGGAGGGTTCCCCTTTCTCCACATCCCCGCCAACATCTGTCCTTTCCTGACTTGTTAATTTTAGCCATTCTGACTGGTGTGAGGTGGTATCTCATTGAGGTTTGATTTGGATTTCCCTGATGCCGAGCGATATTGAGCACTTTTTCATGTGTCTGTTGGCCATTTGGATGTCTTCTT